AGTAAATATTGGTAGTACCAAAATATAGTTAATTTTTTATATTGCTAAAAATTACAATTATTCAAATAAATGAAGAATATTATATATACACTGTGGGCGTATGTATATAAATATTACAATTGTATTATTTTAATTAATGTGATGCATGTATGTTAATATAAAACTTACCAATATATAGTTTATTTTATATTGCTAAAAATAATACAATTCTAAAAATAAATGAATACATTTATATATATATATTATTCATTTATTTTAATAATATTTTATTTTTTTTGTAATATTTTTTTTAGCATATGACCCATGTATGTTAATATGACATAGAAATTGTGTTAATATGACATTTTGTAAATATGACAAAAAAAGCACAGATACAAACACATTTTACCTGTTAACAATTGCAGGCCGTATTATAAACAATTTTTACCGGCCTCTAAAGTATAATTTACCTCCGAACGCAGGCCTGAGCCAAATCTCACATTTACAACCTAATTTGTTCCCATCATCCACAGGTGCAGGAGCCAAAAGTCTAACATCCACAATAACCGTGTCACTCTTACGTGGCCTTTCCTCACAGCCCTTTCCGGTCGGCTTGAGCTGTGAGATGTATTCTTCTTTCTAGGACTCTGGCAGACGGGCCAAACGAATGGCGAGAGGAAGGGGAGGACTAAAGAGTGATTACACAAAGCGCAGAGAGGAGAACAGCCGTCTTTGTGAAGCGCGAGACATGAAAGCCGTTTGATACATCAACTTGCACAGGGAAAATTTCGGCAGCTTGTTCCTGCCACTGTGCCGGGGACAGCAGGGGTGCATTGAAGCCCGCCGCAGCCATTAAAGGTTGAAATAGGAAACGCCAGGGATAACAAAGCCCTGATTTTGACAGCTTTTTTGGAGCATAAGATCCACTGATGTGTGAAATGCAAGCAATGTGCCTTTTGAACAAGAAGGGGTTTGTTGCCTGAGCTCTGGACACTGGGAGGGAGAGAAGAGGAGGGGTGTGTGTGTTTGAGAGAGGGGTCTAAACCAGGACAGGTTGTTTTCCAGTCTCTGTCCCTCCTGGCTAAGCATTGAAGAGAGTAAAGCTGACATCAGTAGGTGTGTATTGAACAATCTGCTTTTCAAGTTCCCACGTCAAATGCTTTCCAGTAGAGCTGAAGATACGGACAGAGAAAAGTAATCTAAATAGGATTACTGCAAACACACGCATACTGTACGCCATCCTACATGATGCCTACTCTCAACACGAGTCGCTTTTGTACCATTTCATCTTATAACTCTTCCCCTAATGTTGGCATTTAGTTAAACATCTAAATGTCAACTTTATATTTTTTATATTGTACAAAAAAAACAAAAAAAAGCTATAACACACTTTTATTTGTTTAACAACAAAGTAATAAACAATACATAAATATATGTACAAAATTCCACATTTACAGTGCCCCTAAAGGGACACGATTGATGGTTTAAAAAAAAAAAAAAAAAAAAACTAGGAGGAGAAAACAAGGCTTGTGTGACATTGCCAAATTATTTGGGAATGAAAATCAATATAAATCATTTTCTTTATACATATTGTCATTGAAACCACCTTTGTAATCTTTCATTGTCTTTTTTCTTTTGCATCTCATTCAACTTGAAATAATTTGAGTATGTGTGTTGGACTTATTAAAACAAGACACACTCCTAGTTTCATTATTCCCATAAGCACACCTCAAAGGAGTGTATATGATTCCCAGAGTGAGGACATAAAGCATTGAAGCTCATCTCGCATGAATCAGGGAAACACATGTCTCCAAGCAACAGCACGAAGCCCACTTCCTTTTTCCATCTGCACAGAATTAGAAAGTCTTTGGCAAAATGCATAAAGTGCCACAATGCCGACTTCTCTTATGGACTCTGACAGTTAAAGAAAGAAAGCTCTCATTCAGAATTAGGTCCTACCCTAGCAGCATAACATGTTTAGCTAACAGACGTAGTTTGTTCATTAGGCTTATATAAATCTATCAGACTGGTATATTCAGTACTGAACTCACAAGTCAGAATTGTGAGAAGCAAAGTCAGACTTTTGAGATATAAACTCAGAACATAAAATGTAAAAAAAAAAAAAAAAAAGAACTAGGAGGAGAAAACAACAGTTTTTTGAGAGAATGCAACAGTTTTGCGAGAGAACGCAAAGTTTCTCAAGGGAATGCAATAGGTTGGCTAGAGAAAGTATCTCAGGGGAATTGTTTTGCAATCTAACGCAAAGTTTCTTGGAGGAATGCAACAGTTTTGCAAGCTAACGCAAAGTTGCTCAGGGGAACACAACAATTTTGCAAATGAACGCTTAGGCCAGATTTACTAAACAGGGCAAATTCCCTGTGGAACACCACATTTTTTGCAAAGGAACGCAAAGTTTTTCAGGGGAACGCAACAGTTTTGCAAGTGAACACCAAGTTGTCAGGGAACCCAATTGCTTTTTGCAAACAATTAAGAATGATTCATTCACGCATCAGACATTGTGATTCTAGTGAAGAACATTCTAAACTGCATAAATTGCATTGGGTGTAACAATGTTGAATCACATATAAACTCAACTTAATGGTTCAGAAATTACCTGTAATTCTTAGCAAAATGCATTGAGGAAACGTGCAGGAGACGCAAACACAAACCTTATCGGACACGCTGTCTGGCAACACGGTCCTGACAACCATTCCTGTTGCCTTGCCTCCGACAATCCCAAATCCCAGGCCGGATCCATCATTCACCAGCTCAATCTCCTCCATGTGTCCCCACTGATCCTGCAAAAGACACACACAGGAGACAGTTTTCAATCCCTTGTCTAGTCTTATTCATTTAGAGGTCAGTGGGCATTGGTCATAATTTACTTTAGCCACAAAACTGTCTACTTAAAGAATAAAGATCCATTCAAATCACCTTTGATTGTCCAAATAGGGAGCAACTGACGACCCAAGACCTGTGACTACATCCTGCGGCAGAGTCGTAATAGGGCACGAAATGCTAATGAACGTGCTAATGGTGTGATCCCACAGTGGCTGATCAATGTCAGGGTCAGGAAAGCCCACGAGAGTATTTGTGATCTCACGTCAGCTGCACTACTAATCACCCAAGTCTCCTTGGGCTCATATAAATGACCCGCAATCAGTACATTTCTGTTCTCTTATTACCAGGCTGTTATCTGCCGGGTGTCTACCTCTGCAATTTTCTCACTATCTAATGAAACCCCTCCTCTGCTGTTCGGCCCGCCGCTCTTTCGAAACAAAGCTTTACACTAGCGCTCGTCCTGCTGTGAGGAGAAAAGAACCATTTTAGAGGTAAGAAGTCTCTTTCTGAGTCCCCAAAGAAAAACTCAAGTCCTTTTTTGAGATTTACTTAACTCGGGTCGAAATTCACCTCTGTCATGATTCATCAGTGTACAGATCAGGGAAAAAAAACTTGTCATTCTTCAAAATCAGTCAATATTATGCAATTTGTATGATGTTGCATAATGGATACATATGGATGTGGTTAGGATTGGGTTTTGTGCTTTTTTGCAACTAAACATCTAAATCTAAAACATCTAATTTGAGTTGAGGAAACAGAACAAAACAAAACAAAACAAAACAAAACAAAACAAAACACAAAAACAAAACTAAAACTAAAATGCAAAACAAAACACACAAAACCAAAACCTAAAAATAAATTAATAAACAAAACAAAGAATTAAAACCAACAAACAAAAACACAAAACAAAATGCAAAAAAAAACTAAAAATAAAAGCAAACAAAACCCCAAAATAAAAATAAATTAAAAAACATAAGAAACAAAAGACAAAACAAAACAAAAATAAAATGCAAAACAAAACACAAAACCAAAAACTACAAATAAATTCATAAAACAAAAAGAAACAAGACAAAAACAAACTTAAAAACACTAAAAATAAAACAAAATAAAAAAGGCAACACAAAAAAATTAAATTCAAAACAAAAACATACAAAACCATTTAAATAATTATACTAGGGCTGCACGATAAATCGCATGCGATATTTAACGCGCATCTTGTCAGTAAAGCCGGTTCTGTAATCAGCGGTAAATCTCCATCACCTGCAGGCTTTCACATGGAGCAGCATTTACTACACAGAGCCGTTGTTCACTTACAAGCTGCGCAAAACCACGATCATATTTTGCGCAGCTTGTCAGTGAACAACGGCTCTGTGTCAAGATGCGCGTTAAATATTGCATGCGATTTATCGTGCAGCCCTAAATTATACTTTTGCAAAAAGTATCATTTAATTTTATCATTTAATTTTTGAGTTTGCTATTCCTTTGATCATGCCTGGCAATCCTACAGTAAATATGTTAGAGGATTCAAACACAGCAAACACTGATGACCCAAACCCAACATATACAGCTATATTTCTTTCCACAAACAGCTGCATTTCCTTCAGGCTGCAGCTTACATAAACATCTATACATTAGCCATGGTAAATGAGAAAGCCATTGTGGGAGGCAGAAAACATCTCCCTTGGGAAAAGGCTTGGGTGTTATTCCTCCAGGAGTGGGAATTCCAAAGTGCAACACAAGTCTAGCCTGCATGAAACTTTCCAATAGAGTATAATTAGGATTCCAGATATTTTCAAGGGCTTCAGAGGTCTGGGTCTACAGAGAGATAGAAGGGCAGGGGAAGTGAAGAAAAATATACCTCAGCTACATTTGCTCCCGCTCTCCTCCATTTAAGGAATGGAGCAGTGATCCCTTGGGGTCCTAACAATCTTAAATAGATAAATATTTTCTCAGCTTTAAACGATAAGAGAATAGATTGAAATGGTGGAGGTCTGTTTGAATATGGGGTTAGTCAGAGGACATAATACATGCTTGCGGAGTGACGTGTTCATTGCTAAGCTTTTAAGCTGACATATGATGATTGACATTAATGATTCCCAAGTCTCAGATTGACAGGTATTTAAACGTAATAATGAAAAAATAATGCATTTGGAGTTTTACTTTAAAAAGGCTTGAATTTTACATGATCTACAAGGGTGAATCTCAGGAAAACACATCCAGGTAAAAAAATAAATAAATAATTGAATCACAATCATTCATATTTCTAAATATATATCAACATAAAAAAAAAGTTTAAAATATTTATTTTTAACTTTTTAAATATAAAAACAAATAATTGTATAAAAAAAAGATTACAGTAAAAAAGGAGTAAAAATTATATTTTGAAAATGAGCATAAATGAAACATGGGACTTCTACAAATAAGTATAAAATAGCGCTGACAAATTGTAAATTAACAAAAGTGTATGCGAATTAATCATTAATCACACTAATTCACAATTCTAAATAAAAAAACAAAAATAAATAAACAAATTTTTTTTAAACAAAAGCAAACATACTAAAATATTACATTAAAAAACAACTAAATTTGCATTTTTAATTAGCATAAATTAAATGTGCAACAAGCGTGTATAAATTATGGCTGACAATCAATTAAAAATGTTAAATTAATAACAAAACTAGATAATCATATTAATTTCAAATATTTGCAATATTAAATATATTAACATAAATATATAATAGAATTCATTAAAAAAATGTTAATATTTAAATTATTACAGTAAAAACAAACTACTCATATGTCTAAATTAGGGCTGACAATCAATTTAAAATCTTAAATGATTTACAAAGCTTGAGAATTACTTGAGTTAAACTGACAAACCTAGTATAAATACTACTAAAATTATTATTATTATTAGGTGTAAAAATAGGTTTTGTTTCCTTTAAGAATATTTTTCCCCCATTGATTGAGGGTGAAATATCATGTGTTGATGTTCTTGACAGGTTTTGTGAGATTCATTCAAAAGGAATTTTTTTTTTTTTTAACAGCACAATAATTGCCAATATCACGTGTTAGCAAAGCCTTCTGTACCCTCCATTGCCTTCTGCGTTTGCGGTGTTGAGTCATGTTTGCGATAAAATTTTATTTTATAGAGCGCAACAAACAGACACTTAATCGGACTTGTAAACAGCACAACTTTGTTGACATCTGGTGACAGAGAGTTTGGCTAGGCAACAAGCAATCACACGAAAACCAGACTTTTGCTCCATTAAACACAACTCTGAAATGGAACAGCACATGAATTAAACCAAAGTCTGGCTCTGATATGCAGGACATGGTCCCGAATTAAGGATATTAAACATTTCAAATCGAAAATATAAGCATCAACAGAGCAGAAATACACAACCTAGCTTGCAATGTAAAGACCAAATGAAAACTACTGTCATTTTTCCAGCTGTGTGCAGTCGCCGTTAATTTGAGAGCGGTTAAATTTGGGTACTTAATTAAAGTAGACGAGAGGGAAGCGTTGTGTTTATTGTTAATGCAGGTTTAGGTTAATGCAGTTCATCTACTGGCAGTTGGTCTTTCCAGCCTCATTTTCTTCCTCTTCCGAGATTATTTCTTTCGGTGGTACGAAGGTCTTTCGGATGAACCTGAGAAAGTTTGCGCATTTCGTTCTCCTTCTGTCTTTGGTTTAGACACGGTTATAACAGGATGTTTTAAGGGCTTTATTTTCCTGAGGATCACATTACAATAACGGGAACACGACAAATAAATATGCTCCTAGTTTAGGCTGAATTACCGTTTATAGATCAGGCAGGTTAAATCAAGATCCTTAAGCAATTTGTTATAATTTCTGTCACTGGATTTGATAATCTGTATATGTTTGTGTAACTGGTTGAAATTAAAACATCACCAATATTAATTAAGCTCAGTTTGTTAGGCCTTAGGAAATATTGGCCTTATTAAATAGGTAAGATTAAACCACAAATGACATCTGCACTTCATTAATACATTTAAAAATGTTCATGAAATCTTACCAAAAGAAACTAAATTAGTTACTGCTAATACTAACAGTACGTTCCTACATAAAAGTACTCATGCTACTTATAGAAGCACGTTTCCGCTACTGAATAAAAAATAAAAATAAAAAAGGCAACTGCTACTTTATCGAACAATTATAATGCAATTCACTCAGAGCTGCGAGAAAAAAGTTAGAACTGCAAGATATAAACACAGAATTCTGACTTTCTTTTTTTTGCAATTCTGAGCTTGCATTTCACAATTGTTTTGTTTCCACAACGGAATAAAGAATAAAAAACGTAAATGTGACTTTTTAATCTCACACTGCACACTTTTTTTTCAGAATTGCAAGATAAAAACTCAGAACTGGGAGATAAAAACTTTGAATTGCGAGAAATTCATAATTTTGACTTACTTTCTACTGACTCTGTGGCGGGAACAGACTTATATAGCTATTAACTTAAAGGGCCAGTTCACCTAATATTGTTATTTACAGTACGCTTCCTCTCGTCGTTTCAAACCAAAATGTGGTTATTTTTTCTGAGGAAGAGAAAATGCTTTTTCCCCCTATCAATGATAGTTTGAAGTTATCACAGGCTGCAATTTGGAGGCCTAATCAAATATGGTGAATGTTTGACGCAATGATGTTTAGTCATGAGAGAATTGATGGGCAGTCGTGGCCTAACTGTAAGAGAGTCTGACTTGTAACCCAAAAGTTGTGAGTTCGGGTCTCGGTACCAGCAGGGATTTGGCTACACTAGGGCTGGACGATATGCCCAAAATTTATATCACGATATATTTCTTAATTTCGGTCGATACGATATAATTCCGATATCGATATGAACACTATTTATCTGAAATAGAAATCTTTTGTAACATTATAAATGCCTTTATCATCACTTTTGATCAATTTTAAGCATCCTTGCTAAATAAAATTATTAATTTCTATAATTTCTTTCCCAAAAAATGTATAAAAATTATACTGAATGGAATAGAGTAATGATGCTGAAAATGTAGCTATGCATGATCACTGGAATAAATTACATTTTAAAATCTATTCAAAATAGAAAGCAATTTTAAATAGTAAAAATATTTCAAAATTTTACGGTTACTGTTCAAAAACTTTTGACTGGTAGTGTAGGCTGATTATTCTTATAGATTGAAACAAATGTGCTTCAGCCAGAAAAAAGGGTATGAAAAGTGCTCCGAGTCGCTGCAAAAAAAAAATCGAACAATAACAAAAACTGGAAATGTTGCTGGAGACCAAGGTTATTATAGTCTAGCATTTTTAAATTTCTTTTTATTTTAATATCATTTTCAAATTTGCAATAAAATTTAGTTTCGTTTTTATTAGTTTCATTAATAATTTTGTTAGTTTTAGTTTAGTTTTTATTTTGTGAACACATTTCTATTTAGTTTTTATATAGTTTAGTTTCAGTTTTAGTTTTAGTAATTAAAGTTTATTAGATTTAAAAGATCACTTCCAGAGCGCAGGCCAAAGAAAGACTTAGGCTAATTTAACCTTAGTGATGCAAACGTCTAGCGACACCAAATCAATTGAAAATGCCATCGAAACTTTTCTGAAGACAGTCGGTTCCCTTCAGAGATACATTCATATAAAACACCCACGCCGTGTTATGATTTTGAAACGTGCAGTGCTTATGTTTATTCAACGAAGTCAAACGGCACAAATAAATAAATGTATGGGAAACTGGTAATGTATATCGAAATATCGGAAATGTGTTTAAAAATCATATCACCGTTATTGAAAAAAATTATATCGCGATACATATTGATATTGAATTATTGTCCAGCCCTAGGCTACACGTCTAAAGAGTGAGTGAGTGCTTGATGTTACTGACATCCAACAAGTGCCATAAAGATGCCACATTTGATTTGATTTGTGAACTATCAAGTTACAGTTCCAAAGTAGCTTCCTCAACTGCTGGAGAACTATGAGAGATACAAATTCCAAGTTAAACACTGTGGACAACACAATGCGGTGACATTTCAAACAGTCGTACCATCTGAATGGGTGCAGATGTAGATAGTCGGGGTTTGGCCGCAGTGTCTCTGGCCACCACCAGCTCCACTCGGTCTTTCTGTTGCTGGAGAAGAGCAATGGCCTGCTGCTGCGTCACGCTCTGATCCAGAGGAATCCCATTAATCGCCAGAATCTGATCATTCTCCTGCAATCTTCCATCCCTGGAGATAAGAAATATCATTATTACTACCCACGTGATTCATTTATTTTTAAATAAATAAATAGCATGCTAAAATGTTATTGATATTAACATTTTAGCTTCGTAAACTAATTCTTAAATGGGTATAATTTATATCTGTCTGCAAATCTAATTGAAAACATTTCTTTTAAACATTCAAATTTATTCCAGTATGTCCACACAAAGAAAATAACCTTAAACAACATGAGGATATTTGTTGAACGTGACGTGTACAGCAAAAGGGACAGACTTCTGAATAAATCACAGTGGTCTCACTCACCTGTCTGCAATGCTCCCTTGTTGCACCTGTCTGATGAACACACCATGACTGCCCACCCCCTCTGGTCTCAGGCCGACCACACTGAAACCCAGACCTCCAGATAACGGCTTCTGCAGGCTGATGAGCTCCGTCTTCCTTCCCTGCGGTAAACAATCCAGAGAGAAAGCACCATCGATACTAACGGTATAAACAACGCAAGCTGAACCAAAACATAGTAGAAATTATGTTCAACGTTTGGGACATTAAATAAAACAATGTTTATCTAGAGAAAAATGACATAAAATACATCCCACCATTGCGGCCGCATTTATCCATCTCTGAAGCTGTTCAGAAGATGTGTTAGTTGAAGCTGTACCGTTGGACACCACGGATCCCAGGCTGCTGGACGGATGACTCGCACTGACGATCAGCTGGCCTTTCCTGGAGAAACTGAACTCTGTGCATGTGTCCGGAGGCAAGCTGTTTAACTACAAAGTGGAGAGAACAAAGTTCATTCTAAAGCTATTCAAAAAATAATTTCAAGAAATATAATAATAATAATAGTCATTATTATTACTGCAACTAGAAGTTTGAATGATTAATAATAATAATAATAATAAGTGAATGGATGTGTTAGACCAAATACTTAAATTATTTAGACAAACATAAATCGTGCCCATTTACAAATTAGTTTGAAATATAAAAATAAAACAAATACAACAAAAACAACAACAACAACAATAATGGCTATTTATAAATTTGTTTGAAATCTATTTTAATAAGAATAATTATTATTATTACCATCATAATCATCATTATTATTCACAATAATAATAGTTTAATGCATGAGTTGGATACTTAAATGTTTCAAATGTGTTATTTAGACAAATATAAATTGTTTATAAATGTTATTTATAACAAATTATAAATTTGTTATAAATAATCATTATTATAATATTATAATATAATTAATAATAAATATTATTATTATACCAACAACAACAAAAACAACAACAATGATAATGCCTAGTTATGAATTTGTTTGAAATTCATCTTAATAATAATAATAATAATTATTATTATTATTATTATTGTTGAGTTGGACTAAATACTTAAGTGTTTCTAATTAGTTATATAGACAAATATAACTTGTGCCTATTCACGAATTTGTTTCACAACAAGCTCTTTAACTATTTAGTGGAGAGACCCTGTCAGTTCTAAATAAATTAATTAATACATACATAGACAGATACATAAATAAAATCTTTGATGCAAGCATTATCGTTCAAATAGCTTGTCCAAATAATTGCTCTACCAAATATTGTATAAACCATATATTTCTGAGATACATGTTTGTTTAAGTTATGTTTATGCATACAAATATAAATTGTGCCCATTTATGAATTTGTAAACCTAAAAACCTATTAAACCTGGCTGTTTTAAGTATACAAATAAATAAAGTTTATTTCAACCATTATCTCATACAGCTGGTCCAAATAATTTGGGATAAATCATGTACTGTTCATCTAAAAGATAAAACAGCCCACAGAGCAACAACCATGTCCTACAGGCAGAGGAAAGGAAGGAAAAAAAATAAAAGGGAAAAAAAATCAATACATTCCTCTGCAGTATTCGCTAGTCCCCAACAGGTAATGTATTAATGACCTTTAGACTCTTACTGTGGGAACTTATCAGTCTTGTGCTTATTTAGTCCGGGCTGACAGAGCAGGTTCCAGCCTATTTCATCGATACATCTCCGACAAGGCAGTTACTCAAACTGAGACAGTAGATATTAAGGCTTGATAGAAACTCCGGCTGTTGCCCGCCTCGACATACTTGATAGGTTTTTCACCTGACGCATTCATAGGCACACGTCTGACCTTCCCAGCACTTAGAATATGAAGGCAAGCTTCCGTTATTGCCATTATCTTAAATTGGTGTGCGGATTGTTTATTGTAAAGAGGTTTCTTGTGTCAATAAAAACTCTGACTGAATACAAATAGGGACGAGGGACTTTCAGCATCTCGAGTATGTGGATAAGAAATACATGCTCACTGCATACTGTGATGGGATGCAAAACAAACAAGTTAATTCTTTAAGTTATTTGAGTCTAAACAAATGACGTGATTTTTATCCTGATTTGGCATTATGAATACACATTAACATTATCTGACCTTGGACATTCTTTACCATTTTAATGCACTGAAACATAAATAGTGCATTTAACTTTTAACATCAATAACGTACAAAAATTCTACCATTATATAATGATCATTAGTTAATTAAAAAGCTAGTAGTGGGAAAAAAAACTTAACCTTATGTATTATACATTTGTTTTTGTGTACAGCTGCAGTAAATACTACCCAGAACACCCTAGCAACCACTCAAAATACTCTTTAAACCTCAAAACAACACCCTAGCAACATGGCGTCAAGTCTTTCCAACGCAGGAATTACTTTTTGTCTTTAAAATTTTTAAATCTAGTTAGAAATACAATAATACTTTAAAATAGTTAGAAATATCTTGAGACTATGATTTTCATATTCATATTTGAATATACCAGAACTACTGGTCTGTTAAGTATTATATTAATTCATATAAAAAAGGCTATTGTAAAGGGTTACTGAGGTATTTATATTTTTATTTGTATAGACATTCCTGGAATTAATTTCTTCATTTATTCCATAAATAGGTATTTAAAAAATACTCAATAATTACATGTGATAAGACATGAACCAAATCAACCAGCCTTGAAATGAATCACATTACAAACTGATTTAGAAGCAAAAAAAAAATTGGGGAAAAAAAAAGGAAAACATTTGTAAAAAATGAAAAAAGAAAGAAGTAAAAAAAAAAAAATTGAAATAATTTATTTTATTTTGTTTTAATTGAAAAAGGTTCAGGACTTTTTTTTTTTTGTAAATGAGGGAATAAACTACTCATCCCATGCAGCATTGCACATTAATCTGAAGAAAAAAAAAAAACTTGGTTGCCATTAAAATATGAAGCAGCACAACTGTTTTCAACATTGATAGTAATAAGAAATGTTTCTTCAGCAGCAAATCAGCATATTAGAATCAATTCTGAAGGATCATGTTACACTGAAGACTGGAGTAATGATGCTGAAAATTCAGCTTTACCATCACAGGAATAAATTACATTTTAAAAATATATTAAAATAGAAAGCAGTTATTTTAAACTGTAATAATATTTCACATTACTGTTTTACTGTATTTTTGATCAAATAAATGCAGCCTTCTTTCAAAAGCATCTTTCAAAAGCATCACCAACCCCAAACTTTTGAACGATATAGTGTATTTTTTTTAATACAAAACATATATATTATAAAGATATATTAATTTAATTTCAAAGCTCGTGGTAAGTCTGTCTTTAAAGGTTTATGTGCTACCACTAAATATATATATATATATATATATATATATATACATCTCATTTAGAGGAAGTCTCACCTGGCCTTTAAGCTGTTTGACGGAGTGCTGCAGGGTGAGGATGTGGCCGAACAGAGGGCTCTGCAGGGCTTCCTTCAGTGTGCCGAGTCTGTCGCTGTGGGTCCACTCTTCTCTCTGCACGAGCTTGGACTGAAGTCTTTCCAAGGCCTGGAGCACCTGCTGCCGCTCGGAAGCAGACACTGAGAACACATACAATCAAGATATTAACCATGCTAAGTCGGATTAAAGCATTATATGCTTGCTTGGATGAAAATCACAAAAATGAGTGATACCTGTCGGTACGTTCTCATACATTGTCGTTATCTTGAAAATTCAGTGCAGACTGATCTGTGAAAGTGGATGGAAATGGATTTGAACACTTTTAAGCTTCAATTTGATTTCAAAATTGATCAGTCAATAATGGCAAGTTACTAATACTAATTTAACGAGGCTACTAAATTGCTTTTTAAAGCAATTTTATGGAAAATATATACATTAAAATTGTTCTTTTTGAGTGTAATTTCCGTTAAAAAATTATATAAATTGCAGAAATACTACTACTACTACTACTAATAATACAACTACTACTTATAATTTAATGGATGACATAGACCAAATAGTTGAAGTTTCAAATCTGTTATGTAGAGAAACATATAATAATAATAATGCAACTATAATAGTGGCTGTTATTATAATTATTGTCAGTAATAACAATAATTTAATGAGCTGTACCAAACATTTTCATATTTATTCTACACACACACACACACACACCAAAAGTTCAATATAACTCATAATTAAACTTAACAAATAGAAACTACTTTTCAAAGTTATATTAATTTCCATGTTGACCTTGACTTTTTTCAATTTCCATAAAAATGGGAACCATGCAAAGTTATAATGCATAAATCATCAATCTTTCTCCAAAAGATGGTAGTAAATCTTTGTTTTACTAAATTTATGCTGGCATCATGCATTTATTTTCATGTGATCAAACAGAAATTAATGCATCTTATTAATGTAAGACTCAAGTATGGATATATATAACCTGTAATGATATCTTTTAAAAGATCAGTTGGTAATTTCTGTTCACGTGAGCAGCCAACTAAACAAAAGTGAGAGTATCTATCTTACTTACCTACAATATTCGTCCATACACTTGGTCTTGGGGTTAAATCAAATATGTGTCAATTTGGAATCCCTCACAAAACACAATCCAGCATTCCAAGTATTGTTTAGGGCTGAGACTGAGTCCTGTTTTGTCTGTACGTGTGTGTTTACACCTGGAACCAGGAAGTGCGTGAGCATTCAAGTTTCCGTGAACTTTATTTAAGTTTAAAACAAGTTAATAAAGAAACCATTATGCAACTGAAGGATAAGGAGATGTTTTATATTACTACTCTTCAATTAAAGCATTATTTATTTAATGTCATATAATATAAATTACATAAACGCAATCAAACAGGTGCATACGCGTAAAACACCGAGTCACCGCTGAAATCAGTGCTCCAAAAACTTACTGACAGTCTAAATGAGACGTTAAAGAATCATTTTATCAATCGAAACGTGCTTTGTTTTCAAATATCAACAATAAATCATAACTTTGAAAAGAATGAAAATACACAAACGTGCTCCTGCTTCCCAATACAAACCCCATTATGTGACACAGGCTAGCGCAGTTAGCCAGTTACAAAGTTGATTATCAGCATCAAACACCGCGAATAAGTTGAACCGACACTTGGTTTTAAAGGCAAACTTGCTCTAACGAAACAACCTGGCTTTGTTACGTATATGCATAAAGTTAAAGGCGTTAAATAAGAGAATTACGAGAGACTTACACGCTATGTGTGCGGCGAATCTAGTGCACTGTTTCTTTAAGAGCTCCGTCAGTCACGTGACAGTTCAACATGGCGTTACACTGGAGGAGTTTGTTGCGCTTTCGCTCAACAACACGGCCGCTGATCATCTTCAGCTTCTGCCTGACTGTCATTCACAGCCTGGGGAATGATGTGGACAACTGTGATAAACTGCAGCTGGGACAATATCCTTTCAAAATCGCGTAAATATATTGCGATCGTTTAAATAGTAGCCGGCTAGCTAGCACTGTCGATGTTACTGGTGATTGATTTGAATATAAATGTACTAATTTAACTTATAAATCATTATTTGACATAATTACGGCACAAATATTAGGTGTTGTGTCCTAGATTTGTGATTCAATCTTGTATTGAGTGATACAGAAAGTTATACTCATTATGCCCTAGATTGCATGACCTATTTGAACATTTCAGATGTTTTTGTTACAAAAATGCACACATTGGTTACATTTCTATGTCTATAAGTGTTAAACTGACGAATAATAAACGACACTGACTGCCACTGATTGTCTGTGATTGCTCATGAGTCATTCATCCATCACTAATGGAATTCAGCTTCACTCAGTGTTGCTTCATGAATTAAATACCACTTAATTGCTCCTTAACAGTGCTCATGTATATGTGTAAAGAACCCAAAATAGATGATGCAACTCAAGAACCAGAAAACTGCAAGGACCGGTTGGCTTGGGGTGGGTCGGCTGTGTACATTTGAACTACATTTAAACTATTTAAAATGCTGCTATTGTAGTGTGTAAATATACATTTAGTAAATAATTGAATTATGATAACAATATAAAATAATAAATAATTTATAATAAATAATTTCATGATATTTTTATAATCATATATAATATAGATAACATTATACATTTACATTAAATAGTATACGTTTATATTATGTATAATTTATTATCATTTTACATTGTTATAATTTTAATAATATTGTGTGTGTGTGTGTGTATGTATATATGTATGTGTATATATATATTTCATTGTATTCACTTTTTAAAAGATTTTATTTTAATTTGTTTGTGTTTCATAAAAATGTATGTGTATATATTGCCAGAATAGGTCTGAAACCAGCTACATGTGACTACATGACTATTAAATCGGGAATCTAAGGCTATGTTTCATTGCAGTGGAATGTCTACCTGCTCCAAACATCAGCTGTCGGCTGTCAAATGGAACACAGTTCAAATTCAGCGGTGAAGAGGTCGGGTTCAACAAAAGCATCCCGTGTCGAAATGTGTAAGTCAAACTTACTCTGGCTTTGAGTATGGATTATTCATATTTGTAAATAATCTGTGAATATCTTTGAACAATATGGATGTGTTTTGTTTTACGTTAGGAGCGGTTACTCGTACAAAGTAGCTGTTGCGCTGTCACTCTTCCTGGGATGGATTGGGGCCGATCGGTTTTACTTGGGATATCCAGCATTGGGTAAAACAAAAAGTACTACTTGACATTTATTGTTGGTCTTTTTGGTCCATTCTTTATAGACACTGTGAGATTTAAGACAGGACATGATAGAAAAGTGAAATCTGTAAATGTTGCAAACCAGATTCGAACTTGGCTAAATGTGTAGGCCGCTAGGCCATGGATCCAACGCTGCATTTTTCCCTCTTTGGCTGTGTGCCGTAGCCCGAAATCACCCATTTACCCATCAATAATGAAAATATCTCATGCCTGTGCTGTGCTGAAACACCAGAGACCTTTAGAACAGACACAATCAGTCCTGGATATTCTGCTGTTGACATCATCTCTTGTTTCCTTTCCAAGGACACACCTTTTCGCCAGATGTTCTCAGAATAAGAATCACACAGACTGATTTTCTTGCACTGATCTTGATATTTTTCTTGAACTTGATGATTTTAAGAGGCAGATGCACATTTCAGCACTGACATGGAAATTTGGTCTGATACGATAATTATTATGGATATATACTGATAATTATTATGATTAAGATATGACAGTAACCAATATAATTGTTGATTATTCGACCAATATGTGTTTTTTCTTAATGCCCGATCCTCGTAATGCAATCTAGAGAGCAGGGTGTCTCATATTATCATATTATATATCTTTTTTTTATTTTTAATTCTTCAAAATTCACTAAAAGAATTAGTGTGGTTTTTTTTTTTAGGATATACTAATAGTTTTTATTATTTTCTGTTTTCATTTTATTTTGCTTCATTTTTTAGTTTTTTTTTTGTGCTTTTATCTTTTTATTCTAAGTTGATTTCATTTTCTTTCTGTATTAGTTTCGTTTCAGTTAGTAACTTTAGTACTTAAGATAGTTGCCAAGGCAGCAATTCAAATTTTTGGCTAGTTTAAGTTTTTCATTTAATATTTATATTTTATTTTATGTCAGCTTTATTTGAATTAAGAAAAACGTTTATTTTTTTTTTAAATAGTTTTAGTTAATGATAACAACACTGATCTTTTTATTTTTATTTTTTACTACAATGCAATAAATAATTACCACATCATATTAATGAGAATCAGCATAGGGAATAACGTGAATTATATAAAAATAAAACTTAAAAGCTAAAACATCCAGACATAAATGTGCTTAATTGTCATGAAAATAATGTCTAAATGAAATAAATAAATAAATGTAGACATGTGACCTGGATATGTTTTATACAGGTTGTGTGGGAGTCCCTCCATCAGACATGGTTTAAAAGCCAAAAAAACTTTGATTAAAGTTTTGATTAAAGACTGGTTATTAAAGTGTTTTTGGCCTCTCTGTTAGTTAGAGGAACTCTAGACCTTCCCCTTTGACAACGATATTAACAATCCCCACCAGGTCCATCCCTTTTTTGAAAATAAACTCCTGAGAGAAATCCCAGTGCACACTGACGTCATGAAACTAGTTCATAGTGCTTTGTAAGAAAAGGTACATGCTGTTCACACGTGAGGCAAACAGTATCAGCCCTTACAGAGCTGTAGATCACGCACTGCTTTTCAGAACATGCGAGAAACCCATCGATGACCCTTTTGTGGGCACCTTGCTCTTTTTTTGGCACCAGCTGTTTTAACAAAACGAATCAGCATGCGACACAACTAATTAACTAAAACGGTTCTCCTTTACCATCAGATCTCACGGTGTTCATCTATCCCATAGTGCAATTATTGTCATCGCTTGCAGATGAGATCAAGTCGTACATCTAAATCCCAAGGCAGGATACAGCGGGAAGCTCCGTCTTTCTGCCTCTCTCCACGTTTTAAGGACTTCCTGATCAATTAAGCACCTGCTTTAGCACAAAAGGGCCTGGGCATTTGAAGGTCCCCCTTGTTCCCGGCTTCTTTGTGCGAGAGCGCCGGAGTTTGTGAAAGGCAGGCTCACACCACGCTGGAGTCAGTTGTATAGACGTGTTCATTGAGAGCGTAATGGCCCAGCAGCTCTGAGGTCAGTCCAGACTAGGTGGGACTCAAAGGAAGGCCTGGACTTGTTGAGAAGACATTGTGCAGGTGGCATTTTTTAAATCCGTCCTGAAATCAACATGCCTAAATCCCTCAAAGACCAATTATAAGTAATATTAGAGATGATTAGCAGCAATTATGTTTGAATGGAAGGATGGAAGGGGGTTTTTAATGGACTGCAGATCTCATGGGTTCCTGATGGTGTTTTTCAAATGATCACTCAGTGGAAATCCAAAGTAGGCCTACATAAATTTAAACCAAAATTGTTTATTTTGTGGCAATTATGCGTGGATATTATAAACTTGGCTGAGTTGGCTCATGAATATTAATTACATGACATACCATTCTACCTTATTTGCTGGAGGGCATTAATGTAAGTCTTTAATGCACAAAATCCTCGAAATTCTTCAGACGGAAACAAGCCGATTTAAGTTCTACGAATTGACTGATTTGAACTTACAACCTTGCACAGTGGTTTGAAAACTTCACCAGTAGTAGTCTGCACTACTGCAAGCATGAAAAAAAACACTTCCTTAGGTGCACAACAAATAGCTTTGCCCTCAAAATTGTTTTTCTTTGTGGTCATACGGAGAAGCCAGTGAGAAAGTGCTTTTGGTCACAGATTGGTTATGATGGGAGGCTTTGTAGTATGTTCTTGGTTAACGTGTGGCTCACTCTTTGTTTGCTTCTAGGCCTGTTGAAATTCTGCACTGTGGGGTTCTGTGGAATTGGAAGCTTAGTGGACTTCATGTTGATATCCATGCAGGTAAGGCTTTTGACCCATTTATTGATGTATGCATTTCCTTCTGCCTTTTTTTCCTCAAAAGTTGATCCATTTTGTTTTATTTTGGTCAGGATTTTTTTTTTTTTGCAACTGTCATGAAATGTCTGGTTCATATTTCAAGAAAAAATAAACAGTTTGTTATTTAGGAATTATTTATTATTATTTTTTTTTAATAAATTACATTTATATTATATAAATAAAAAATAAATAGATTTAATTTTTCATTATAATGTAATTATTAATCATATTAATTTACATTTAAATTATTTATTTTAATTTTGCAGTGAAATATGACATTTCTTCACAAATCCTGCAAAGGGGTGATCTATGAGCTATCACCATTGTGCCATTTGATCAAGACCTTTAATAAATATACTGTAAGTCACTTTGGTTAAAAGCGTCTGCTAAATGATTACTAGATTACATTTAGCATATTAGGGGAGTAACCGGGGAGGCACTTTACCCACAATTCCCTAAATGAGCTCCAGACACAGAGACTCAGCACTGACTTGTACTTGAATGCTTGTGTTTGTATTCAGTGGCACCTGTGTCTCTCCTCCAGTGCCTCCAGCACTGTGAAAGGAGCTAATGAGAGCGTGGTTTGTTTTCGCCGCCTTCTCATCCTGTCCCGAGTCGCACGCTCCCACAGGACTCCCCTAACCCCTATTAAAGGCCCCCTACACCTGACAAGAGAAAAAAGCCGCTCCATTTGTCATCTTGTTAG